CAATCATTATGTGCAGTGATGTTAAGGATGGCATCCGTTATGTGCAGTGATGTTAAGGATGACAATCATTATGTGCAGTGATGTTAAGGATGGCATCCGATATGTGCGGTGATGTTAAGGATGACAATCATTATGTGCAGTGATGTTAAGGATGGCATCCGCTATGTGCAGTGATGTTAAGGATGGCATCCGATATGTGCGGTGATGTTAAGGATGACAATCATTATGTGCAGTGATGTTAAGGATGGCATCCGTTATGTGCAGTGATGTTAAGGATGACAATCATTATGTGCAGTGATGTTAAGGATGGCATCCGTTATGTGCGGTGATGTAAAGGATGGCATCTGTTATGTGCAGTGATGTTAAGGATGGCATCCGTTATGTGCGGTGATGTAAAGGATGGCATCCGATATGTGCGGTGATGTTAAGGATGGCATCCGTTATGTGCGGTGATGTTAAGGACGACAATCATTATGTGCATTGTCGTTAAGGATGACAATCATTATGTGCAGTGATGTTAAGGATGGCATCCGATATGTGAAGTGATGTTAAGGATGGCATCCGTTATGTGCGGTGACGTTAAGGACGACAATCATTATGTGTATTGACGTTAAGGAACAATCATTATGTGCAGTGATGTTAAGGATGACAATCATTATGTGAAGTGATGTTAAGGATGGCATCCGTTATTTACGGTGATGTTAAGGATGACAATCATTATGTGCAGTGATGTTAAGGATGGCATCCGTTATGTGCAGTGATGTAAAGGATGGCATCTGTTATGTGCAGTGATGTTAAGGATGGCATCCGTTATGTGCAGTGATGTTAAGGATGGCATCCGTTATGTGCGGTGATGTTAAGGATGACAATCATTATGTGCAGTGATGTTAAGGATGGCATCCGTTATGTGCGGTGATGTAAAGGATGGCATCCGTTATGTGGAGTGTTGTTAAGGATGGCATCCGTTATGTGCGGTGATGTAAAGGATGGCATCCGTTATGTACGGTGATGTTTAGGATGACAATCATTATGTGCAGTGATGTTAAGGATGACAATCATTTTGTGCAGTGATGTCAAGGATGCCAATCATTATGTGCATTGATGTTGCTGATGAAATTCAATATGCGTAGTCATTAGCCATGCACAGTGATGTTAAGGACATTCGCCATGCACAGTGATGTTAAGGACATTCGCCATGCACAATGATGTTAATGACATTCACTATGCACAGTAATGTTAAGGACATTTACCATGCACAGTAATGTTAAGGACATTCGCTATGCACAGCAATGTTAAGGACACACGCTAGTGTTATATCAGAGTACATCTTCTACAAGTCAAGGGAGTTAACTGACTTTACAGTTTCAACCCTTGCCGAAAAAGGTTAAAATTTCGTATTTACGTTTTGGCTCTTCTAAACGAGTCCAATACATATCACGTAACGAAATCAACATCCGGTTCGATTGCAGGAATTGCGAAGCATGTATACCGCCACTTGGGCGTCGACGGATATTTTCCATTTTTTTTGCGTGTTGTTAATCAAGGTGCTCAAGTAATTTCATACACTTCGCGAAGTAAGACCCGTTTTATAACAATATAGATATTAAGATAAGATCTCGATAAGACCGTCTTCACTGGGCGCTGCCATTTTTTTTTTAAGCAAATGGAATTATATGATAGGTGGATTCTGATTGGTCCATAGGAGGGACATATTTCGGAATAGCCTAGTTTGGCAAGGATGGTAACGGGACTTTAAAGACAGGGATCCCTTGCCTCGGGAAGATGATCAGAGTACGCCCGTTTTGTTTTCTCCAGATACACTCAGACACAGTATACTGACTCATAGCCGACCAGTCCTTCGTTTAGCCCCCTTATGCTTGTACCATCTTTTAACGTTTTTTGGTATGACGCGGCCGGGGATAGAAGCCCCGACCTTCCGCTCTCCTGACGGACACTCTACCGCTAGACCACGGAGGCGGTACTACACCACGCCACGCCACGCCACGCCACGCCACTGACAAATGTCGACAAAAATAAAAAGAATACATTTGCATTAGAAGATTTCCGGTGATCAAATGTGTTGTGGTGATGGTAATATTCCTTCTGCGGACAGTCAATTATAGCGGAATTAGGCGCAGCATTGACATATTATCAGGTCGAGTGCAAAGACGCAAGTTTTATGTGTTTGTCCTTTTCAAAACACAACAATGCCCTTAATCTCCCTTGATAAAACCAGGTACTACCGGTCGTGAAGAGAAGGCAGAACTCCAGCTGAGTGGGGGAGGTTATAATCAACAGGGGTAGCCTTTAAAAAGACAGGGTAGGTGTTCAATACCCGATAAATGACGTTTATTTACGGTTTGGACTATTGACTTATGTCGTGGCGTGTCAGACGAATATGTGAGGAAGGTCCTACGCAGTTGCCTGACTTTGATAACTTTAGCGAAACAAACCAAGGACCATAATCTGTGCGAATTTGGGATTGAAACACATGATCTGTGGATGTTATTGCGTCTAAAGTTTAATTAAAGCACGATTGACCAATCGTTTCATTGTCGCGCTTTGAATAATATTTTCCTCAGAAGGACGACAATGCGACAACGCGACACTTGGTCAAATTTTGACATATTTTGAATGCTTTTGTAAAGGCAAAGCGACTGAATCCTTTCTAGGACACACTAAATTAATGGGCAGTTTATAAAACACACATTACTCACAAAACCTTTCAAAATACCATATTGTGTGTCCAAGAGTATTTCAAACAAATGGTTCAATACATTTAGACACAGAAAGTGAGTGAGTATGGTTTTACGCTGCTTTTAGCAATATTCCAGCAATATCACGGCGGGGGAAACCAGACATTCTGACACTGTTCCCATGTGGGGAACTGAACCCAAATACAACCTAATCGCCCTCATATAGACAAAAAACAGATGACAGTTCACTTATACAAACACACTCACACATATATACATAGAAAATAACACAGAATGGACTCACCATTTCATATATTCTGTCACTGCTTCAAAGCGTGCAATTTTGTTCTGTCAAAACACAACATATTTCCTTTCACCACACATTTTTGGGGGATATCAGTATATCCAGGAAACATTTTCGTCTTTTTCAAAAACTAAGAAAGCAAGTTCTTTCAAATCTGTTTTTGTGACTAATTATTTAACAGAAAAACGAGGCGCCTAGGTCCCTGAGCAAACCACTCATATCATATCTAAATCTGATTGGTGAATCTGAAAGCTATAGGGTATCTTCGAATTCACAACACTCACTTTTCTCTGGACGTGTCTTACAATAAATACCAAGCAGTGCACATTTTTTTAGGTTTCTCTTTCAACATCACAAGAAAGCTGCTCGCAGTACTAACATGTTTAAGTGGTATTGATGTTGCACTGAGGTGACCTCAGATACCGGAGAAGGGAGATATGCAGCAAGTCTAGACATTGATGACCATAATTTAACACTTGAAGGCAGGGGTGTTTTATATCAGCACTCCCTCCTTTCATCACGTCCAGTGAGAATGGTCATCACAGTAATGGGATCCAATTAGTTTAATTTACATGGTCAGTTTGCTGACCAGTCCTCTCATCGCCCGCTCGTCGCTCACTGACAATTGACACTGATATTTGGACAATTGATGTTTTCATCTCACGAGTGCTGGACAGAAGCCAACATACACAACCGACGGGTCAGTGTTGTGGACATGGAGGGCGCTGTGCCTGACAAGAAGGGACAACGAAGTGAGTCTTAAAATAGGTATTGTTAGGCCCTGGTATGAGGAGATACTGGAGGGTGTGGTGGAGGAGATATTGTAGGGTGTGGTGGGAGGGATATTGTAAGGCGTGGTGGGAGGGATATTGTAAGGTGTGGTGGGAGGGATATTGTAAGGCGTGGTGGAAGAATATATCGTGAGGCCCTGGTGGAAGGGGATATTGTAAGCCGTGGTGGTGGAAGGAGATATTGTAAGGCGTGGTGGGAGGGGAATATTGTAAGTCGTTGTTGGAGAGGATATTGTAAGTCCATTTAACGGGAGGAGATAACGCAGCGTTCCTGGCGGGAGGAGATACCTCTGTATCGCCTGAAGTGAGAAGAACTGTACGCCCGAGAAGGAGATATTGCTGTAGCATGACTGTATCGCCTGAAGAGAGTCGATATATCCTCCTGACAGGAAGAAATATGACGATATGCCCTATGGAGCGAGAAACAGCAGTACCCTTAACAAGAGGAGATACCACTGTATGCCTAGCAAGAGAAAGATACCACTGTATGCCTAACAAGAGGAGATACGGCTGTATGCCGAACAAGAGGAGATACGACTGTATGCCTAACAAGAGGAAATACGACTGTACGCCTAACAAGAGGAGATACGACTGTACGCCTAACAAGAGGAGATACGACTGTACGCCTAACAGGAGGAGATACGACTGTACGCCTAACAAGAGGAGATACGACTGTACGCCTAACAAGAGGAGATACGACTGTATGCCCAGCAAGAGCAGATACCACTGTACACCTAACAAGATGAGATACGACTGTATGCCTAACAGGGGGCACGGGTGGCCCAGTCGTCTAAGACGCCGCAATTCGCTGTGCAGAGTTGCGTCCCTTGGGCACACCAGACACCTATGATTGTGGGTTCGAATCCCGGTTCGCCCCGATTATGTTTCTAGGTTTGTCAGCACCATACCCGTGCTCGTGGGTTTCACCGAAGTGGTAAACGTCTAAGACCTGCGTCATTTGGGGCTTTCCTCCCAAAATTAAGCTGACACGCCGTCATATGACTGGGATACTGTTAAAAGCGGCGTTAAACACAACTCACTGTACTGTATGCCTAACAAGAGGAGATACGACTGTACACCTAACAAGAGGAGATACGACTGTATGCCTAACAAGAGGAAATACGACTGTACGCCTAACAAGAGGAGATACGACTGTATGCCTAACAAGAGGAGATAGACTGTACACATAACAAGAGGAGATACGACTGTATGCCTAACAAGAGGAGATATGACTGTACGCCTAACAAGGGGAGATACGACTGTGTGCCTAACAAGAGGAAATACGACTGTACGCCTAACAAGAGGAGATACGACTGTATGCCTAACAAGAGTAGATACGACTGTACACCTAACAAGAGGAGGTACGACTGTATGCCTAACAAGAGGAGATACGAATGTATGCCGAACAAGAGGAGATACGACTGTATGCCTAACAAGAGGAGATACGACTGTACGCCTAACAAGAGGAGATACGACTGTATGCCGAACAAGAGGAGATACGACTGTATGCCTAACAAGAGGAGATACGACTGTATGCCTAACAAGAGGATATACGACTGTACGCCTAACAAGAGGAGATACGACTGTACGCTTAACAAGAAGAGATACCACTGTATGCCTAACAAGAGGAGATATGACTGTATGCCTAACAAGAGGAGATACGACTGTATGCCTAACAAGAGGAGATATGAATGTATGCCTAACAAGGGGATATACGACTGTATGCCTAACAAGAGGAGATACGACTGTACGCCTAACAAGAGGAGATACGAATGTATGCCTAACAAGGGGATATACGACTGTGTGTCTAACAAGGGGATATACGGCTGTATGCCTAACAAGGGGATATACGACTGTACGCCTAACAAGAGGAGATACCACTGTAAGCCTGGCGGAAGGCGTTACCACTAGACTCCTGACGGGAGGATATATCGCTGTGCGCCAAACTGGGGGAAACACGCAGCTGTCTGTGCTTAATGTCCAGACACATGGGGATAGCGTGACCTTTTCTCACACACAAACCAGCTGCAGTACCGTCTAAAAACATAAATTTAGAAAAAAAACGAAATCAAAAGAACATTCGTTTCAATATCAACATTGGGATTATACCTTGTGTTGTTGTATTTTGCAAAAAGGAGCCTGTTTCAGTGAGAACTTTTCAAATTCTATAAATTTAAGAAAACAAATCTTAAAATGCCACAAACAATCTCAGTATCATGGTGGTGCTTTACAGTACACCAAAGCTTCAAGATTCTTGAGAGTGTGGCTTCTGAGAAGATACAATATTCAGTTCCACAATTTCATTTGTTGCTGGACGCCTTACTTAAGTTTCCATTTTCAATGTCATCCTTCAGGGGCCGCCGACGACCATTGATGCTCTTGAGGGTTGGGAGGGTTGGGTGAGTGGGTGGAAGAGAGTGAGTGAGTGAGTTTGGTTTTACGCCGCTTTTAGCAATATTCCAGCAATATCACGGCGAGGGACACCAGAAATGGGCTTCACACAGTGAGTGAGTGATTTTGGTTTTACGCCGCTTTTAGCAATATTCCAGCAATATCACGGCGAGGGACACCAGAAATGGGCTTCACACATTGTACCCATGTCGGGATTCGAAACCGGGTCTTCGGCGTGACGAGCGAACGCGTTAACCACTAGGCTACCCGACCGCCCCGGTGGAAGAGAGAGAGGGTGTCTCACAGCGCACAGTACCTGAAGCTCAATTGAACCTGTGGTCTTTGTCATGACGGACTGCAAAAATAAACAACATGACCATACACTTTATTAACACTCGACGTGCGAGGGCTCCTTTAAGAGTTTATCCCATAATCAAAATTATAGAAATAACAGGAACGTTCACGAAATTGTCCCCGTTCACAGATATAATCACAGCAATAAACTGTCAGGCTGATCGTCAAAAACGATGATTGCAGGTTGTTTATTTAGAATGTCATCCTGTATATCTGGTTGTTTTACTTTACGGTCTTCATTCAATAAAACCATTATTCGTGTCCAGATCCTGTTTGTAGCAAATCACGTTCAAATTACAAACAGAACATGTAAAACCGCTCCGATTTCCATATAGATTAGAGAATTTTATGGGCGTCCAAAGCTTCACCTAATGGTTACAACCCTGAACATGGATGTAGCATTAGGAGCGCGTATGGTTAAGACTGATGTAGTGTCACAAGCGAGATGAGGTCATCGGTTTGAGCTTGTCAAGCGTGCATCGACTGCCTTGGGGCGTTTAATCCCGCAAAATGACATTCTTTTAAAGGTTCCTGATAAAAAGCCTTGAAATAGGGACGTAATCCTCCACTGGGAGTACGGCAAAACAAACGCTAAGACTGTCGACCGTTCCATCGGCTGGCGATACCGCGATTTCTTGTGTTCTTTCTCGATACTTCACTGGCGATTGTTGGCTGCAGGGCAGTGTGATAACTGTGTATTGATCTTCATCTTAATTATAGCACAGTGACTACAGCTTTCCAAACTCTTAACAACTATACTTCTTATACAATAGCTTCAGTTAATTGAGGTGATATGCTCATTTTTATTGATGGTTTATCAATATAGTGCAGTGATGATTTTTATTGCTCTTCATTCCTTGATTAACAAGAAAGAAATAAAAGCGAACATTAAAAGAACAGATTATGTCTTTTTGGAACATTCTAAACCTGGAACGTTTAATAGTTCAGGTTCTTTGAACTAAAGGAACAGAAAATATAGGAGCAATGTCGAAGATCTTAATGGAAGGTTCCTTTTTCTTAGCCGTGTAGCCAGAAGAGCTATACATCTGATACGTCTGTTCGTTTCATGTGAATTTAATGGATCCTTATTCAATAAATATGCAAGAGAGGCTGACTTTTAAACAAAAACAAGCAAACTGGAAGCAAAAAACACATCAGTTTCTAATGTTTAAACCATTTCAGCTTTAATTTCCATCCTAGCCTAAAGATGGACGGTTATTTCCTTCTTTTAGTGAGAACAACTGCACGTCACGCTAAGTCAGCAGTGACGGGATTGCTCCGCGATTCCCACAGGTCCGAGAGACGCTGATAAATACATACTCCGTGTGTCATGACCGGGCCTAATTGACTTCTTGCTACCTAACAAAGTACATTTTCCATCACTGGGAACAATAGTTCTCGCTCAAAAGACCAATGATAAACAAGGTGTGAAGCACAGCGAGGCTTGAAGTTTGGGACTTCAGCTACATTGGAACTGACAAGCACTATAGGTCGAAGTGATTGCAAAATCGATCAACGACGTGCAAGTGACAATAGAGAGTGGGGAGGGAAACAGCACAAGAAGGGGAGCAGTCATTGTACCAAGAGAATACTTATCTTAATTGTGCAGCTAAATTTGCAATGGTTTTTTAAAATCAGTGGTCTAGACCAGGCGACGTGGGAGCGTTTTTGTTTGTTCCTGAATTAAGGCACAGAACACGGGATTCTGGGTAAAAAGGTGAGAAGAGATTAGGACTTCGTGGAGTTTTATCTCATCACACAGCGAAACATGTATGTGTATAGCAGGCTCTCTTGTTTGGTATCTGCTCTGATACCATACATTTATAAACAAGGGTCCCTTTCAACACAGCAATGCTAGTACTCTGAGTGTTGTTGGTCGACCATTAAGTAGGAGGTATAATAGGCAGCCAATTGCTCTGCAGAGCGTGGCCCAACACGACCAAGACTACCACAAAGTGTCTAAGACACCGATATATACATATGGTGGTGAAATATAGAACATGACCCTTTTCATATAAAATGTTCTTGAAACTTTAACATTATATCACATTAACATTTATAACTTTAAGTTATATCTGCAATATACCTAATTTCAAATATTGCAAGCTACATGTTAAAGTGGTTCGAAACTTGATCATGTCAATAATCGATTAATCGATACATGTTGCAAATTTGAAACAAAACACAACGCCAAATACTTCCTCCGACATGTTTCATTCATATCATCTGGGAGAATTTTCATCAAATTGTTTTACATTTTAAACATATTGGACTGTACAATCGAACTGCAAATACTTTTATATATAAACACACATATTTTATATGCGGGTATAAAACGTGGCAGTCCTGTGAAGGACAGTTAATGTCCATCGAGTAAACTGGAGTCTGTTTCCTGCCTCGGAATACTCTCTTTCTCCTGGCTTCCAGATAATCAGGTCTAATGACTCCAATGTTGCCAGATTAGGCCAGGACATTCGTTCATTGGCATGGGTTGGCAGTAGATTGCTGCAACACCGGACCGTCCGGCCACGTCGGGCAACCAGCTCTCTCTGCCTTGATTATACGGCGTAAATACTATGGCAGTCTGGAATATCACGTCTCTGCATTCTATGTCCGCTTTACGGCGGCACGTTTTGAGAGTCCGAGTAATGGGGATTACCAACCCATTCAGTTCTCGACTTACTCTTACGTCTGTTGTGCAAAGTAAAGCAAACCTTGGCTGTATCAGCATTGTGGCGCTCGTGCCAGTTGCCTTAGACGAGTTGTACCCTGGGGAGGACTTCCTGTCATCTCGTAGTCTCTTCTCGTGAGTTTGTTTCCCGCTTTCCTCTTCATCTTCATTGATTGATGACTGGAGCAGACGACACCAAGATTACTGTTATCAAATTCCATGGATGGTGTTGAGTCCGTCGCGGTGATTGTGGCACACTACAAAGCTGAGAGGCTGGTCTGGAGCTGTTTCGGCGTTAGGATGGAGCTTGAGGGATCCTTTTGGTGAAAGAACTAAGGAGCTGGCTGGATCTATAGTTGGCTTCGTATGCCGTGTCATGGTCCAGGGTGATTGATCGTCTTCCATGGGAAAACAGTGGCAATATCAGGCTTCCGTTAATACAAGCATATGTTTGTAGGATGAACAGCACCTGTCGCCACTAACAGCATCACGCAATCCATCACGAACACACCGTCCTGTCAATAAAGCATTAGGAGGAAAAGGGTTGTATTTACCGACATAAGCAGCGTGTTCTGATGTGAGATAACCACCTTATTAACTTGGTGTCCTATGGTTAATGCACTTAGACATACCAGACACACTGAGCAAAATCTTAAAGAACATATCGATAAAACCTACATGGAAGTAATTACTCTTGCATTAAACTGTCAGGAACCAATCTCTTCATAGCTCAGAAAAGTGAAATGGCCTATCACAAACACGTATTACACATTTTTGTAGGGTAAATGCCAAGTACAATGAAACAAAAGATAACTCCAATTACGACTTTGACAAAAGTTAAGCGCCATTCATCTGAAATTCAGTCTGAAAATATAACGTGGGCTACGAGGGGTGGTTCTGAGCCTAACTACTACTACTAACTATGTATAGTGACCCATTAATAGTTTGCGTGTATTTAATACATCACTGGCCATGATTACAGGCTGCATTTGAACCAAACCCACAACCACGCAGCATATTTCTGCTGACATCAAAGTGACAAGGTATCTATGTTGCTAATAACGAAATAAGGTGTCTATCATCAAGTATCTCCATATGAAAGGGCTACCTCCAACAGCCATGCATGCGGACATGTTTTCAACTTTAGGGGATGAGTGAGTGAGTATGGTTTTACGTCGCTTTTAGCAATATTCCAGTAATATCACGGCGGGGGACACCAATATGGGCTTCACACATTGTACCCATGTCGGGAATCGAACCCGGATCTTCGGCGTGACGAGCGAACGCTTTCACCACAAGGCTACCCGACCGCCCCCTTTAGAGGACGATGCTCCTTCTTTTGCCACTGTTAAGAGGTGGGCGGCGCAGTTCATGATAGGAATAGACAGCCTCGGAGATGAAAAGATCAGGAAGAACTTCAACTGCCGCCTACTGGATGAAAATGTTGATAAAATACATGGTATGATTATGGATGACAGACGCCTTACAACACGTCACATAGCCAATACAGTATGCATCTCTCACGAGGAGTTGAAAACATTCTGAGGAATGAATTTTGCATAACAAGGCTTCAGCACGATGGGTCCCAAGACTTCAAATCAAAAACGCTCTAGGCTCACCATCTCTCACGTTGTTTTGAAGCGGACCCATCTGATTTTGTTAAGCGATTTGTAACCATGGATGAGGTTTTGGTTGACTACTATCAGCCAGAGACGAAACAATCAGTCAAATTTTTCTCCTCAGCGATAGGGAAACTCACTGAAGGTGCGATGTTTCACCAGCTTCTGTGCTAGGGTCTGTTGTCGCCATGGCTGCGTGACTGTGGCTTTCAACTCATTGAACATCCTCCGTTTTCTCCAGATTTGGCGCTGTGAAATTTCCACCACTTCCCCAAACTGGAAGAATTTACTGTCAAATGATCATAACATCATTTCTTCTATATAAGCCTTTTTTTGGAGGACATCTACACCAGTCCGATCCAGGCAGGGTGTGGGTTGTGTTGAAACATAATAAGCAGCCAACTCCATCAACCAAGTCCATCATACTTCGGCTCAGACGTGTTCAGCCACTCCTCGCATTAGGATGTCTCGACCCAATTTGAAAACAAAACGCTGCTATTATTTTGTTGCTGAAAGTTTCAGTTCTCTTGGCGAAATACTTTCTGTGAAGAAGATTAAAATTGATTGTTTTCTTTTTATGCTTTAATGGTGAGTTTTATTATAAATATATAGCATCTACGGTTAGTCGTAATGTATAAATGTGGGGTGAAATGGGGTTTAACGTCGCGTTCAAGATGATTGCACTTACATGGAGACGCGTGCGTGCGTGCGTGCGTGCGTGCGTGCGTGCGTGCGTGTGTGTGTGTGTGTGTGTGTGTGTGTGTGTGTGTGTGTGTGTGTGTGTGTGTGTGTGAGCGCGTATGTGTGGGTGTGGCTGCTTCCACCAGTCCGGACTCATGCCGATTGTAAAGTGCTAGCCGACTGACATAACATGACGCAGGTTAACTTCAATACCCCACTTATATAACAACGTGCATACACGCGTGTGTGTTTTTGTGTGTGTTTGTGTGTGTGTTTGTGTGTGTGTGTATGTGTGTGCGTGCGTGCGTGCGTGCGTGCGTGCGTGCGTGCGTGTGTGTGTGTGTGTGTGTGTGTGCTTGCACTAGTTCGCACTGATGCCAATTTATAGTGCTAATCAACTGAAATACCATGCCGCAGTTTAACATGAATACCCCACTCAAACACAGTTTACTGACTCCGAGCCGACCAGTCCTTGTTTAAGCTTCTTAATGCCGAGCGCCAGACAGGGTAACAACAAGTTCCATCTTTTAACGTGTTTTGGTATAACGCGGCCGGGGATCAAACCCCGAACCTTCTGCTCTCCGAGCGGAACATAAAATATATTGAATGAAAAGAACAGAAAACAGAAAAATCCCAACCAAACTCGACAGTAAATCACCTCTCTCTTCTCTTCTTTAGAGTGCATGAACCAAAAGAAATATATTAAGTTGTTTACATTTTCAAGAGACATAAGGGAGGATAGGTGAAATAAATATGATATAAAGAGTGGGTTAGATATATAACATCAACATTCTTCAACTACATAGCAAAATCATTTTTATCAGATCTTGGTGCTGGTATTGCAACACAGAGATCTGAGGACATCCCATTACAGGTCACGTCAGAACGATCTTTCACGAACTTTGACCGACCACTGTCACATGTTTCATATTTCAAAATAACTAGATCAGAAATAAATTATTTTGACAACCGTATGGTGCTATGCCTATGCTTCCTGGTGCCTAAACAGATGTTTTCCCATCCTCTAGGACACCCAGATCGTCGTTTGTTGAACGCATGTTTGGAATATAAAAACCCCCACAAATTCTATTCAAAGAATATAAGCGAAATTTCCTTTTCCGTAACCATAGGAAGGTCCATTGTACGATTCCGACTATATCATAAGCATACGAATCACTATCAAATAATGATGAAACCACGTGTTCGCGAAGACGTTGGCGTATCCTGCCACACCGGTGGCACGCGTAGCTTCAGACATCATTTTAGTTAATGATGCGTCGAGTTTGTCCTCTACATGTACATGTACATAATTATGAAAGTTTTACTAAGGCCCTGATCAAATAACATCTGAGAAAGAATCATATGACGCTAATTGAAATCTTCAAAGAAATGGCATGCTCGGTTGTCCGAAGTTGTGAAATGTAGACACAAACAACTGGAGCTGTTGGAATGATATTGATCAAATAAGGGTTACGTTGACTAGTGGAAGGTTGAGGACATCCTTCTTGTCAGAATCTAGTAGAGAGCTTCTTGGCATCTTTATGCATACATCTAAGTGTGAAACAGGTGAGGCAGTTTCACTAGTCTTTCTTGTATTTACAGTTCGGGTGGGTAAATCAGAAGAAGGGTATTGGCATTTTTACTGTTATTGAACTGTGTGAGATCATCGATATACGTGATGCTTAAGTTAAACTTCTGGACCAAATTCCCTTGTTTTGATTCTTCTAATCAGTCTATTCTGATTCATATGCAAAAAGAAACAGATCACCAAGGAGGGGACCACAGATCACATTTGTTTCCATTTTTGACAAATTGTCCTGGACAAGTGAATAGCGAAGTGACAAATCTTTGGTCATCATGTTTAATGACAAATGCCTCATGTATCAAGGAAAAAGGTGTTCCCTTACTTTGTCGTATGGGATAGTGGTGTACAACGTTGAAAAATCAAATGTTTTGACAAAATGAAACTTTTCTTTTTAATTCCACTTTTCTCAAGTACTATTTGTGAAAGTCCTTTCTTAATTGTATATCATGTGCCACTGCCAATAATATATATTTATAATGATATAAAGAAAGTCTTAACTTCTTTGATAGGCATTTAGAGGCATTTGGAGTACTAAGTAAGGATAAGAATGTATGGATGAACAACTTCTTTATTACAATTAAGAGCGACGTTTTCGGTGTAGGTTCTAACACCGTTATCTAGCAAGTCATTACTTGCTTGATAACGGTGTTAAAACCTACACCGAAACGTCGCTCTTTCTTAATTGTATATTATGTGCCACTGCCAATAGGACAATGGGATATATTTACAATGATATAGAGAAAGACCTTTCTTAATTGTATATAATGTGCCACTGCCAATATGATATATTTACAATGATATAAAGAAATAATATAAGTTAGGATAGAAGAGAGAAACATTTGCAGTGGTGATAAACCCATTCATTCTGCTTCTCAACGTGTCCCAAGCGTATCCCGCCCGCTATCCAGTAGGCAGATTCAATCAGTTCCAGTTGACTAGCCCCTCTGTCATCACCTCTGCTGCTTGGCCGACACCATTAAATATCACACTAAGTCTCCTACATCAAGATGTGATGTATTCCAACTATCACATTAACTTATGGGTGACAGAAAGCCGAGGAGGTTTAAATGAAAGACAGTCGACGGAAAGATGCCCAGTGTGTTGGGCATTTAAATTACATAGTTCTCCATGACCCAATCTATAAATGCGCACTTCTGTATGGAATTCAGGTTTGAATTGATCACCTGAATTCAGAATCAGTGAAAGAATGTAAAAAAAATCAAACCAGGACTAGATATTTATTGGCTAGCTTGATCGAACATCGCGGGGTCTCTTCCGGTATGTAATGCAAACGTCTACGCACTTTCACACCTCGTGTCCCGAGCACGTCTTGGAATAATCATTTGGGAATAGTCAGCAGACATGGCCCCTTCACTGTAGTCCACACGTGTCTGGTGGAAATTCTGCAACAGTAACAAGACATAAAAAACACTACTTATGATTATGTGCCGTGAAAAACTTTGTTTCATATTACAATTGAGGGTCTTGTTTTCATTAACAAAGGATTTTGATATACACATCCATCACTGTGCTCATGAAAATACAGGAACCTTTTTGAAAAAAACCCTGTTCCACAAAAATAACCTCATCTGCTTCCATTAGGATTTTGATCAATTTCATTTTTTGCCGCTGGGAATGCTGGAGAGTAACCAGCTTAGACATTTTGTTTTTCTTTGAAGAAAACTGCTCGCTTTAGCGACATATTTTTCATTTTAATAAGAAACAGTCGAGTTCCACCACTCGTGGGTATGCTCACTCGATCTGAGAATCAACGGCACATCTTTTATGATTTGGCTAGAAAAAATAATTTCCCTGTCGTTGACGTTTTATATTTAGGAAATAATGAAATAACTAATATTATGGCATGCATGTATATGGTACTATTTGAAATGTAAGATTTATTTTGTAAAACCATTGTAACCATTGGAGGTGGGTGGGTGGTGGTATATTTTTAAAATAAATAAAAAATCAAACCCCTGTTTCACTGAAATATAATATTACATATGCCTCTAATTTTGGAATAGAAATATTGCTCCCTGGGACGGTGTTGAGTGTTTCTTAAAACGTTAAACCATCAAGCAGGGTGATCGGTTGACGTCAATGATGAGAAATCATGGGATGCAAACAGGGTCGAGGGGGCCACAAAGGTAAGATGTGATAGGCCATACATACAACGAAAATAAACTGAAGATAAAACTTGATATTCATGGCTTGACGTGACTTCATCTGAACGGACAGCGTCGCTTTACGTTGAGCTGTGTACAGGCCAAGGAAGCGTGTGCTTCAACCCTCATGCAGCACATAGTTTCGCAGCTCTTGGTTTGCTTACTGTTCACCGGGTCCCACGGGACGTATCCTCCATTATGTTGCTGTCTGTTAGTTGACACTTATACAAATCTCTGTTCCCAGTTGTCATGACAACAGGCACATGGGGGCACGGGATGCTCAGTTCGTGGTGTGAAGCTTTTCTGTTTTCACGAAATGAAAGCTCGTCTAGCAAGTGTGGAACACTTACCCTCAATCAGACCAGGAATTTGTGGACGTTTGAGTATATTGTGCCAAATCACAAGGGAAAAGACCGAAGTCCGGTCACTTGAAGACGATGTGGCCTGCGCCATAAACTTCTCCAAACGTCAGCTGTCAGACTTAACTACTGAAAACCTCACGTCTTGGAAGAGGTGGTGAAGTGGTCGTTATACTCATGCTTTCACGTATCTTGAAGGATAACATATTTGTCTCATTGTATCAATCGTAATCTATTGTAATGGTACATTTATATGGAGGTGAGGTGGAATTGGGTTTAACGTCGCGCCCAAGATTATTGCACTTATATATCGCGCGCGCGTGTGTGTGTGTGTGGCGTCTTGTATAGTGTTTATAGTGCTAGCTCACTGAGATACCATGCCGCAGTTTATCATGAATACCCCACTCAGACACAGTATACTGACGCCGAGCCGACCAGTTCTTGTTTTAGCTCCTTAATGTCGAGCTCCAGACAGGATAACAACAAGTACCATCTCTTAACGTTTTTTAAGATCGAACCCCGGACCTTCCGCTCTCCGGGCGGACGCTCTACCACTAGACCACGGAGGTGGTCTACATTTATATGGAGGTCAAATATAGACATGATGTAGAAGGTTGTAGAAGGTTATAGTGATAAAAATACATGTATTCACGATACGCAGAGTGAAAAATGAACAGCATGTCTCTGCATGTTAGGGGTGATCCCCACAGCTTCTACAGGTAGTTTTCCTTTACAGGCATGACATAGCAGCCCACACTGTATTATCACGCAACAACTGCTACTGTAGACATTATCTCAGGCTATTGTCCTGCCTTTATATACTACGCAAAAGAAGTTAAGGACCGTCCGGCACTTTCATATTACTATACTTTATCTGTCACAGTGTTGTGCTTATTGTGAGTAGTATATTTAGAATATAAGTAACTGTATGTGACAAATAACTTCAAAGATGTCTATCGGGGGTATGAATGTAAACATGTTAATTATTATTTGTTTCTTTGTTGTTTAATGCCGCACTTATCAATATTCCAGCTATATGAGGGCGGTCTGTTAATAATCGAGTTCGGACCAGACAGCCTAGTGAAAGACATCATAAACATCGATCCAAATGCAATTATACGATGACATGCATCAACCAAGTCAGCGAGCCTGACCACCCGATCCCGTTAGTCGCCTTTTACAGCGAGCATGGGTTGCTTAAGATCTATTCTACCCCGGATCTTCACGGGTCCTTTAATTTGCGTTGGTCAGTGGCAGGTGATACCGGTAGGGCAGGACATGCTTACCCTTTTCGCGAACACCTGGTGTCATCACTGATTTTCCCTTTTAGCCCCAATGGAATCTGTTTCGTTATTGATAATGGCGACTGATTATTCTCATGCGTTGACGTTATATATTTCTGTGTGCCTCAGTATTCCAATAACCACTGCAGACATTTAGACCATGCAAATAATTCATTTTCTTTAGGGTGAACACCATATCACCATGTCATATGTTTGTACCAGTAGAAATAAGTAATGGCCACTCTCAAATATACACGGGCATCCATAATGAAGACATACATTAGAGGTTCTACTCCACCAAACCTGAATCAGTCGCTCGGTCATCAGCCCTCAGTGCAGACTGACTTATCTGGCAGGTGTGGTTGGATGATTTTGTGTAAGATTTTTATGTTTCTTAAATGTACATCCATCCAGTAATTAAACCATTTTTTCTATATTTATTTCTGTTTTGTTTTTTCACGATGACTTATGCTGAATGTGAACACAGATATATTTTTATGCAAGTGACATTTGGCTCGGAACTGGAGTGGTGTGTTTAGCTTCCTGTACATTCGTCACCACTCGCCTCTTTCCGTCACCTGCATGAAGACTCGTCCCCCTATCGATGAATGTTATATGTTATGAATGAATGTTAAAATACGACAAACCAATCAGAATGCGCGTATGATTTCAAGTTCTTCGTCAAAGAATCCCTCAGAAATAATTTTTGATTTTACATATGTCTTACATCTAAAAATATACCAAAGACACAGTTAAATGTGTTAAATCATACTGTATAATTCCGCACGTCCCGAAGTGCTTTAAATTGCATCTGAAATATATATAATATATGGGGAAAATGTGTGAACCATTACGCAACGAGTTGACAATTGTTTTAGGTATGCCCGTTTGCGCTAAGACGGAACCCGGTCGCAAAAATGGCCACGAGAGGGGCACGAGTCGCTATTCGGCATGTCCCGGAATAACACGAGTTGGTCACGAATGCTTCCTGTACTGGGAAAAGAAGCTGGCTAAACTAATAAATATTTTGGATTTTGTTGCTGCTTTAAGGCCAGACTGCACACACATGTACAATCATGTAATTGCTGTTAAATGCTTAGTTATTTAAATTTCTTTTTATAACGTTACTATAGAACCCTATGGGAAACCCTTGGTTGTGTGTGTAACCTGCAACCCAGAACGCCTTAACTATGTAAATAATCTTCTTTGTTGCTTGAAGAGATGGAACGACAAAATTGCAAGATGTATTTGCCACTTTCAATGCAATATACTTACTCAGGATTATGTGCTCAAATGTCCCTATACCCTATCAACATGCAGTGTCCGCCATGACAAGTAAATGTATGTGAACTTTCAAAATATACCAGTAGTATCCACTGGGTATTCCTTCCGGAGAGCGGAAGGTCCGGGGTTCGATCCCCGGCCGCGTCATACCAAAAGACGTTAAAGGATGGTACTTGTTGTTACCCTGTCAGGCGCTCGGGATTAAGGGGCTAAAACAAGGACTGGTCGGCTCGGAGTCAGTATACTGTGTCTGAGTGGGGTATTCATGTTAAACTGCGGCATGGTATCTCAGTGAGCTAGCACTATAAATCGGCATTAGTCCGGACAAGTACAAGCACCCTCACACATACATACACGTGCATGCACGTCGCTATATAAGTGCAATAATCTTGGACGCGACGTTAAACCCCATTTCACCTCACCTCACCTCCTACCGCTCCCCGGGGAAACTTAGGTACAAATGTGTCCCCGGCACTAGTCGTTAGGGGCGACTAAACTGGGAACCTGTGTGAAAGCCTCATTCAAAGCTATCGCTCCCGTGGGGATTCTAGATGAGGAATGGTCCCCATCAACCTATGTGTATCATAAAAGGCGAGTACATATTGATCGGTTGTCAGGCTCGGTGTCTTTGTTCATGGCATGTCAACGTACCCCAACGGCGAGGATCGTTGTTCATAAAATCAATCTCTGGGTTGTCTGGTCCAGATTCGATTTGTATAGGTCGCCGACATATAGTTGGATTGTTGCTGTGTGCGGCGGTAATCAAATACACACATGCAGGCACGCTCACACACTCGCACACGCATCCTCTTGACCCAGTTTCATTCTCACCCTCTCAAACATGTCGACATGCTCAACAAAAGAACAGGCGAAGTAAAACTCTGTCTGAATGTGCAGGCTGTGTGCAGTGGCTCAATAATCTAATGTATTCATTGATCAATTCTGTACCTCATTAAAATGAATTAAACGTGGTAAATCAGAGCCGTTTCTTTGGATGTGGATGTTGTATGGTGAACAGAACAAACGTCTTGTGATAAGAGGCAGTCAAACCTCGCCTGCCATGTGCTTAAGATGTCGCAACATAAGGAAAAAAAACCCGAAAACATTATCACTCAGGATATAATTTAAGAAAGACACTTAATATTATGTGAAGTACTGAAACATTAAAAACAGGATAATATGTCCTGTAGAGTAGACTACACACAGAAACATGCCTTTGCGTGTGTTTTTGACGGGTGCCATCGGTGGGGCAGGATACGCTCAACTTTACGCGAACACCTGCTTTCATCACTATTTGATATTTACTCATACA